CACAGCATGGGGGGGGGGGGAGAAGATGTCAGGGCGGGGAGTAAAAGAGAGATGGCTGCGATGAACCCAGCACCCAGGATGCACCGGGCCTCCGGGTGAGGCGTTGACACGCCACAAGTGTGCGTGTCTGCGTGCATTAAGCAGCCACCTCGGCTCCATGACCTACGACCCGCGTTCTCCCGTTGAGTCAACGCAGGATGAGGGCCGCTCAGACACCGCGATCAACGCGGTTCAGGTCAAGACCACGATCAGAGCTGAAACACCGGGGGTCCATCTGACACACACACACTGTGGTTAATCATGTCCACCTACGTGACCTTCACGAAGAAAGAATGAGAGCCCCGAGACGAAGGAAGACGAGGTTAAGACCTTCGTTTCTGAGGCTCCTGTGCTCCCGCCGGCTCCTTTCAATTTGGAAACGCACAAAAACAAACAGCTCCTTCATCGGGGGGCCTTTCTCACCACAGCGCTGCATCGATGGCCACGAGAGGCGAAGCCCCGCCCCCTTCGCGCTGACCACCCTGGGACATTATTTAGGAGGAGGTGATGCTGGAGACGCTCCGGCTGACAGCGAGAGAGCTGTGATTTATATTGAAAAACTAATTAGTTTTAGGTAAAAAAAAAAAAAAAACTAAAAATGATTTTCTTATGTAACAATGATTTGCAGATGCATGTGAATAAGAAGAGTACCGGCACTTGTCTTTCGTCCTCGGGAGGTGTGCTCTGCTTCTGTGTTCTCTAAATTCCCCACTTACAGACTGGAAATCGTGTGCGTTGAGGTCCAGCAGAGAGTGCTGCTAAATCACCACTACCAGCTTGACCCAGCGGATGACCTATTGACTCATCAGCAAAATAAGCCAACTAATAAAATGGAAGAGGCCACGGGAAGGATGAACACCGAAGCAAGGAACTAAAACAACGGCCTCCTCTGCTCCCATAGACGTCAATGAGAAGACGACTCTACTTCCCTCTTGATTTATTCCCTCAGTAAACGTTGTAAACATGAGTTTATGGTCTCAGTCTCTAGTTTAAAGTCTTCTTCTAACCAGCATTTAGTCAATTATGGTCCATTTAGAGTCAAACAGAACATAAAGCAGGGGATGCTTAAGGGCGGGGCTACAGGCTGATTGACAGCTATCTGTATACAGTGTAAAATATGGTCCCTCCTGCTTCAGGACAGCTTCAAAATAACGGGAAGACTTTGTCCACTTCATACAGGCTCTGGGTAAAACGCTCCAGAGAGAAGATCCTACGGATTAAAAGTGTAGATTACAAACAAAACAAAAGCCCATCTGTCCTCAGTGTGTACGTCCATATGACCCATATGTTGCCCGTGTAAAAACACGTGGTACTGCTCCATTTAAACTTCCAAAATAAGAAATTAACTAAAAACAAAAAAACAAATTGCCATCTGTTGGCAGCCTGTAAATATACCACAGTTTCTATGGAGGAGGGGCTCTGCAGAGCACGCTGTGTCTAACATCTTCATGATGTATCTGCATGGATGACTCAGATGGGGATGCCGTCCTATTCTACCACCATATGTGCAACCCAAAGCCAACCGCAAAGCTCACGATGATGAGAGTCTCGGTCCAGAGAGGCCTGATGAGCACCTACAAGCCCAGAGGGCAAAGAAACAGGGAGATAAAAGGCTGCTCCTTCTCCTCCACCAACCGTGGAAACACAGTCCGTCGTCATTGATCACTCCCAAAGACGCTACTCAGCGGCTGAGACAAAAAACACGCCGCCGATGCAACTGAAGTCTTTGTGCTGCTGCCAAGAGCAGCTTCCACGTTACATAAGTAAACCAGGTTTTGATGCATCACCCCTCCTGGGAACAGGCAGGACGGAACTGGATTACACGGCAGCGCGGCAACTCCCAGTCTGCTGGCCTGACAGAACGCAATCTTTTATTGTCCCGGCTGCTGCAATTACTGTTAATTACAGCCGTGCGATGCGTTGATATCAAAGCTGTTGGCCAAGACCTCTCGCAGCGAAGATGCTGATGGACGGCCCGGCTTCCACAAGCTCGCAAATACTTGGGTGCTTCCATGCAGCACAACCGAGTTATCGGTGGCAGGGCTGTAAATCCTTTATAACGTGGGACGACGCCGCGTCTGCTGAGGAGGAACTTTTCCACCGGGAGCACTTTGGTTGAGCTCCTTCTCCTCCTCCTCCTCTGACGCCTTCACCAGAACCGTGGTACGTTGTCAGGCTGTGAAAGAACATAGGGCCCAAACGGAGGAGATCCCCGGGACAACGCGGACGCCTCGTGGTCGATTCGGGTCCTTCTCAACCAACAAGAGGATTCGGCTGCCCGAGAAGCCGGCGTGAAGGTGCGTGCAGTTTCTGAGCTCCTCAGCGTTGCTATGACGCCCCCCATGTCCTACGAAGAGGGCCCTCTTCATCATCAATCAACCTCTTTTCTGTCCCGCTTCAGAGCGAGCGGCGTCCTCTCCATCGAGCCGGCGGGTGACGCTCACAATGTGCCTGAGACCTCCCCTTTGCCAGAATCCCACTTTGATATCAAAACATTTTATATTTCTCTTGCATGAAATCCAACTGTAATGACCATTAACTTCTCATGCATGCATTTTGTTTCACTGACACACATTCCCACACCAAGTTCCCCCCAGAAAAGGTTCAATGGGAGCTTCGTAAAGGTGGCCCAACCTTAGCACCGTACCTCCTTGAACTCCTGTATGTGGGACTGCTCAAACATGGAGAAGACATTGGAGCAAGACTTCTTGTCCTCCCCTCTGTCTCTTATTGGAGGCTTCTTATTGCCTGAGAAGAGGACACAAACACGTCAAGTTTACACTCGGATATTTGTTGTATTCTGCTGAATTATATAAAACAACTGCAATCTAGAGACAATAACATAGCGTTACAATGACTCCTTTATGTCCCTGACTTAAAAGCATTGAGGGACTTACCATGCCTGAATGATCGGGGTGGATTCCCAGCCATTGTGGGATGGCAGGTGGGTTTTATGTAGTCCCATCTGATCCCTAACCTCCTATATAGCCTGTGGGGGCAGCACAGCCCCTTTACAAGGCCACGGC